ACTTAAAAAAAAAACACCTTTTTCATGATCAGAATATATATTTTTTTATATTACAGTACAGACTTTACAACCACTGAATGTGTTTAAAATGCACATTTTATTGCATTAGATACTCAATTGACTTTTTATCAAGCTCCAGCTTTGATAACTATATTCTAGTATACATTGCCGAAAGTTATTAGATTTATTATTAATAACATTATATTTTTTTTACAAAACAAATACATTTAAAGAACGTTGTCATTTTTCTGCCAACTGTGAAAACAAACACATACATGACATTTGAGGGCTTTTAACAGATTTGTTTTTCTGTGAATACTGCCTGTTGTTCACTTTTAATAAAGTTGTTGGACAGTTTGGCTTTTGACAACATTCTTGTGTGAATGTCTGTGTGTGTGGATATGGATATGAGTATCCATATCTTTTGGTGTGTACGTGTGCTGTTGTGTGCCCTGGGATAAATATCTGAACAACGGGATGAAGATGGAGTAGAGCAGTGAATTACACTCACTAATTTCTGTTTTTTAAGGCTGATAATTAATCTAAATGGTGTTATATCCAGCAGCATGTATGACAGTTTATTGGTAAGGCACTGTTGTAAATGAGATTTTGGATTGACGAGTGAATGAATCGTATGTGGGCTGTTAATATGTACAAATATGTGTGCATGTGGTTGTATTTGTGTGGTTAAATGAGATCCCCGATGGGTATACGGGGCAGGCAGATGTACGCCTGTGGGGTTCTGCTGAGGTTGATGGGGTTGCCGTCCAGACGGATGTCCTCCAGTGCTCTTCTGATGTAGCTGAAATCTTGGAGGTTGCAGAACGTGTCCTCGTGCATCATTTGAATATTGTTACGCTGAAACAGAGGGAAGAACACAATACAATACAACTTTATTTGTATAGCACATTTAAAACTACAGGTAGCCACAGTGCTTCACATAATCCGATCAAACAGTAGTAAAGTACAAAGGCTGATAAGCTAGCAGCTGGGAGGTATTGATTAACCGAGCATACAAGTATACAAGTACACACATAAGCAAGCAAGACTTAACGATAAAAACAAGTTTTCAGCCGTGACCTAGGTTGCACCAAAAGCAATTGGTCAGACGATCTCAGTGTTCTACTGGGAGTATACACGCTAAGGAGATCAATAAGGTAGCTAGGTGTGATATTATTTATAATTTTATAAGTAAGCAGTAGGATTTTGAAATCAATGCGGTATTTAATTGGAAGCCAGTGGAGGCCAGTGAGAATTGGGGTGACAGACTCAAACCTACGAGTACCAGTTAGAAGGCGAGCCGTGGCGTTTTGGACGAGTTGCAATCTATGAAGAAGGGCAGAATGAAGCCCAGTGTATAGGGAGTTGCAATAGTCTAACCTGGATGTGACAAAGGCATGGATAAGCCTTTCTAGATCCTCACGTGGTAAGTATGGCTTGGCCTTAGAAATTAAACGAAGTTGATAGAAACAAGATTTAATAACAGAGGACACATGCTCTACAAGCTTAAAGGAGGCGTCCAGGTAAACACCCAAATTACTCGCAGAATCGGAAAGATAATCAGTGAAGGGCCCGAGGACACCAGTTAGATGGGCTCTAGGGGTATGACTGTCAAAGATTACAGTTTCCGTTTTCTTGTCATTAAGGATAAGGGAATTGCTCAGCAGCCAGTATTTAACTTGTCTTATACAATGGAAGAAGCGAAGCATCGATGAAGTATCATCCTCAGTCAATTCAAAATAAATTTGAGTATCATCTGCATAGCAATGATAAGAGAGTTTGTACTTTTCAATAATACGACCAAGGGGTAACATAGAGACCCAGCACAGACCCCTGAGGGACACCACAGGTGATGGGGGCAATGGAAGAGGAGTAGGTACCCATCGTGACAGAGAAGGACCTCTCTGATAAGTAGGATTTAAACCAACTAAGGGCCATACCCGTAATGCCAACCAGATGTCCAAGCCTCATTAAGAGGATATTATGTTCCACCAGATCAAAAGCAGAGGACAGGTCCAACAAAACTAAGACCACGGTGCGCCCAGAGTCAGTAATTAAAAGAAGATCATTGAAGACCCTCAAGAGTGCCGTTTCCGTACTATGGCACAGTTTAAACCCAGATTGGAATTGATCCCAGATGTTATTCGCATTCAGATAGGTCTGAAGTTGTGATAGGACTATCAAGGATTTTTGACAGGAACGGAAGTTGCGAGATAGGTCTGTAATTAGCGAGGTTTGAGTGATCTAGGGAACGCTTTTTAAGAACAGGTTTCACTACGGCATGTTTAAAGGCAGCCGGAACACAACCCAGTGACAAAGAAAGATTGATTAGTGATAATATACTAGGTCCAATTGCATTAAATCCCTCTTTAATAATGCGAGATGGGAGAATGTCATAAACAAAATTTGAGTTTTTTAAACGGTCAATAATTCCCTTAACTAAGATAAAATCATTATGCATATTAAAGCTAACAATTATAATAAAGATAATAGAAATAGAACTAAAAATAGAAATAACAGCATAATCTTAAGAGTACATTTTGGTGGTTTAAGTACTAGTTTAGTATGAGTGTTAACTTTTAAAGATGTGATGTGTTGTCATTGAGCTACACTACACTGGGATCAGGTCCTAAAATTAGATAAATATTACTTGAAATAAACAACAAGAGCATGAACAAAGTCAAAATGCAGAAGCAGCGAGTCAAAACTGCTGAATTAGAGAAGAGGATGGATGGATGGATGGATGGATGGATGGATTTTTTGGTTTGGCCAGAAGATATACCTGTAGGTGCAGAGACCGCAGGCTGTCTGGTAGAGGCACTGGGATATAATCAATGTGGTTGTCTGTTAGGTACAGGTACAGCAGGCCAGTCATATCCTGTTTAATGTAAGGAAAGATAATCATTAATGGCAAAGAACCTTAGATATTACCTTTGTGAAAGACATTTTAAGGCACTAATGACAATACTAGATTTCAAACACTGGCTTAACATTAGAATTTTGCTAATTTAGTTGTACTCTTATCCTGCACTTTCCTTTTATTCTGTTTCCATCCAAAAACACAGTTTCCTGCATTCAGCTGAGATAATACATGTGTGGCTGACAAACTATTGCTCCTTCCAAATGACTAAGAAAATGTTATTTTCATTTCTTGTCGTGAGCAAATACACACAGTTTTACTTGATATGTGCGAGTCCAACTGTAAGTAAAAGAGGTGTACGTACTTTGAATGCCTCTCTATGAATACCCTTTGAGCCAACGTTATTGTGGCTGGCATCAATCAGGGTCATAGTCTCTGGGAAAGATGGCAGCTGGGAGATGTGATTTTCTCGAATCACCACCTCCTCCAGTTCAGGCAGACCCACAAAAGCTCTGTCCTCAATGGATGTTATCTCGTTGTGGGTCAGGTCAATCCTCTTCAGTTTGTCTGAAGGAAGGTGGGAAAACACATCAGAAAAAACTCTTTTTTCATTGTCACTCCAACATTTAAGTTTGCGTTTGGTTCTGAACTAATACCGATGTGTTTTTATTCAAAATGGAAACATACTCATGGAGGCAAAGTCAGACTTGTTGATCTTTTTGATTCTGTTGTAGCGAGCATAGAAGTGAGTGGTGTCTTTGGGGAGAGGGGGCACAGTATCCAGATTCAAGTCATCGCAGTAGACTGAACCACCAAGGCATGTGCACAGCAAGCAAATGGGCATACCTGGAATACATGGACAAGAAGAAGGAAAACAGAAAAAGGAAGACATGCCATAGTAGCTTGTTAAAAATTCCCGAATCCTCCAGAAACAACCGTAACCGTACAACTGTAATCCACAGGTCAAAGTTAATAAAAATCAGGGCCAAGCACACCAGAACTTTCCAAGTCCAAAGGGGATATAGGTTTTATATAACATTCCGATCTGTTCTATACTGACCTCGTCTGTCAACCACAGGCTCTTCAGGCTTGTCTGGCTCATCAGGCTCACTGGGCTCTGGCAGCTCAGAGCTCACTGACCCTTCTATAGTGCCAGCACCCTCTTGAGGGCTTTGTGTTGTAGGTGGAAGCAGCCTCTCCTCTTGTTAGAGACAAGATTAGGTGTTAAAAATAAAGGTTAGATCATAGACATGGGACAAGACATCTGGCAAACAGTAGCCCATGGTTTGCCGCAGTGTTTTAGCAGTGTTAAGCAAGAGTTTATGACATTTAAATGACAAATGAAAATAAGACTCTGATGTTAATAACATGAAATATGATTTGCAGAGTGGTCGCAAACAGTGTAGGTGTTAGTAAAGAACAAACCGACAGAAACAAATTCAGATGGCTTCTATGGTGGGATACTAAGCTATGAAAGAAAGAATGTTCAGGGAAAGCCACAGGAAGTATTTCTATAATTGATTTTCCCGTTCTGCACACCTGTACCCATTTTTTTTGCAAGATTGCCTGCTTTAACCTTGCATAGTTTATGGGAACCTTGAACATCTTTTATTAAAGTAAACTTTTATATCCTTCTTGATTCTGTTCTGCTTTGGGGTTCTGAGCCCTGATAATTATCATTTTTCTAAAAACAATGCAGATAATGTCTTGATGCATTTTCAATCATCCAGGAAAGTAAATCTCCAAAAGTTGATTCTGTTCATCTGGACGTAGCGTTTTGTGGGAGAAACGTTTCGGAGACTGGAGAAGTCACTTAGATGAGTGTTGAAACGTTTCTCCCACAAAACACTACGTCCAGATGAACAGAATCAACTTTTGGAGAATGCTGATAATGTGAGACATAGCCTTTAGTACCTACACTGCCTGTCTTCCCCAAGTCTAGATTTGGTACTGACCTTCAAAAGTGGTGGGGAGCAGAGTTACAGGGACCTCAGTTTCTCCAGATGCAGAGACACTAGAAATCCCAGAGATTCCGGATACTTCTCCAGAGACTCCATCATCTCCCGAAACCTCTGGGATTCCTGAGAACTCCCCAGAAGTACCTAGTGTCTCCTGGGCAATAATGTCTGGAGTGATTGGCAGCTCCTCCTCTTGTTAGAGCCAATGTTTGGTGTTAGGAGTGGTAACGTTGGGAGGTGAAAGGTAAGATGGACAATGAATCAACCCATTAACCAATCAATCATTCTTGAGAGATAAAATGTTAGAAAGAAAGTGATTATGAGTAAAAAAGTCCAGTAGCACAAATAATTATGAACAACATTTAACTACATTAAAAAGCAAAGCAGTTAAATGAAATTTAGGACAATCAACATAAATCCCACAAAGAATGACAGGTTAGATACTAATATGGTGCAACGATACTAACCTCCAGATATAAATGTTATCCTTTGGTCCCCGGATTCAAAGTCCCCAGAAACCCCAGATATTCCAGAAGCCCCTGAGCTCAAAAGATCTCCGGATACC